CAATTTTTTTGTTTTATTGGGGTGGCTTGCGGCGGGGCAGCTCCTAGCAGCCGCCGCTTTGACAAAGCACCAGAGGATTCTGTTAAAAAGTTGTGTTTAGTAATTGTAGTCGTCGTGTCAGACCATAACTGACTTGGAGCTGAAGGATTTTTGCGAGATGAGTAGCTGTGCCAGCAGGGACCCAAGTCTCCTGGGCCAGCCGCGCTCTCATTAAGATTTGCCGCTAGCCGTGGCGGTGTTCGGCAAGTATGTGACGTGCATGCTGTTATTGTATGCTTGGCTTGTCAGCCTGCAGCTTTCTGACACTCACTTATGTCACTCTTTATTCAGAGAGGAAGAAGCTTTTGATAATTTGACAAGACAAGCTCTTAAACGATCTAGGTCATGGCCTTCACTGTCTGTGATTGTGAACATATTTCCTGAAAGCCCTGTCACTCATCACAGCTACATTTTCTCCCGGGGAGCCGCAGGCCCGTCCCGGTCTCCTGTCAGCGCGTGCATTTTGGTTATTCATACGCCAAATACAGTAGCGGGGTTTTTCCTTCCCTTTTGCAAGCGCTCGCATGTTAGCGAGGCTAATCCTCTCCCCCGCGCCGCGCTCCCAGCAGGGCCGCCGTCGAGGGCCCTCTCGGCGCAAGGCAGACGACCGGCCAAGGGGAGCGGAAAGGAGGAAAGGCCGCTTAGTGCTGGTTTTGTGTTTGCTCATTGTTGTGGAAATATGAGAACTGGTGGCAAGGGCCTTGTCTATTGAGCGCTGGAGTCCTGGTCTGCTGTCAGGGGCTGTTTGAGATTGAGTGTTTTATTTTCTTTGATGTTCACGTTTGAGAATAGGGAAGTGGGAATTAAACAACAGATGCATTAAGCCGTTGTTCTGGTAAAACAATAATTAGCACCTGATAAAATTCAATGCGGGTCAAAATGCGCAGCATCCAGGCTCGATTCATCTGGTGTGGCAACCTCAGCCGGATCAGGCTCGGATATGAATAATCGCCCTTCCAAATTAACCAAATGTGGGCCGCAGCAAAAACGGCGCGGATTGGGAAAAATTAATTGCCCAGCACTCGAGCGGCAAAAGGCATGCAGACGTGGCCGGAGGTGCGGGAAGGGCACCTCACCTGCACGTTCCGCGGTGGTGCCGTGGGGGCACTGCTTTTAAGAGTAGGCACCTTTTGTGCTGTTACATCTACACGCTGGTAAGGTCAGACCACTGGGGCAGGAAATAAATGCAATTTTATTTTAATGTAGTTCATCACACTGCCGTCGCACTTGTATACCACAAGGGCCTTTCTTTAAACGAGGGCCATTCATGGTTAAGTACTTGTAAATAAATAAGAAAAAGCACAGGTTCAGTGGTGGTTGTATTTGGTTATGCTCTCTTCCATAGCAAACCTCTTTGCTTCATTTGAGAAGCCAGTATTCAGGAATAATTGTTAATTATATTTTTTGTCATTCCGTGATAGAAGATCCAGACAGTAACTCTGAGCTGGTGCAAGGTAATAGGACTCCTAGTTAAAAGCACCACTTTTAAAGACCTGTTGTTCAGCCAGGCATCTGTTTTTGACTATTGTGTTCAACTTCTGAAGTTCGTAAATGATCGTGGTGATGATGAGAAGCATTACGCTGCATCACCTTCTGAATGAAGAAACAGCTTGGCCACTTTTCCCTGGCCGCCTTCCTCCTACCTTCCCTAAGTTCTCCCACTGCCTTAAAACATCCTTAAAGATGATGATGATGATGATGATGATGATGATGACCAGTCGTACCTCTTGATAGCAGTGCTGGAGGGCTTGGGACTGTGCCTCTTCCAGTGTTCTGGCAAGAGTCGTGCCAGCCATAGTTTCCTACTCGGAGTTACAGATTCTCACTGTAAGTGATGTCTTTGTGCCCAGAGCGAAAAAAAACCCCAACCAAACTATTACTCGGAAATAAAGTAATTTTTTTTATTATTATTAAATAGCTGCTGTGTGAGTAAAGGTCATATCACAGAGTGGCATTTTGCCCGTATATGACAACTCATTGATTGCGATTTTTCAACCATATTAGTCTGGGGACACTGTGGTAATCGAAAACTACCCAGAACTAATGTATAAATAACTGCCTAAAAAAAATTCCGGATGACAGGCGTCAGCATCCTGTGCGGCTGAAGCCATTGCAGGTTTGAGAGAGAAGGCAAGGTCTTTGATGCAGCATTTCTGTACGCTCAGGAGTGTTTATATATTGCGCCTTGAAATCCTGTGTAAGTTAGCGAAGGAGGAAAATCCTTTTGTTTGCGCTCGGAGACGGCTCGAGTGCGTTCAAACTGTCAGATGTGGTAGCCGGTTCCTCTGTGGGAGATGCGGGGTGCTCCACACACGTTCTTTATAGAAATATTAATATAAAACTCAAATATTTACATGCAGTGTTTGAGTAAGAGGAGAAATGTCGAACCATTACACAGAACAGATTGTAGATTTTTCTCCAGAAAATTGTGTTACTGACGGAATGAATAATAAATAATATAATTTCCATCACATCCAGGAAAAACACACCGTATATGCCATGGGGTGGCTGTCAAAAACTTGGATTATTTTTTGAGAGATTCAGTTGCTAATGTTGGTTGCTGGGTGGGTTTTTTTCTTTAATTAACATGCTCTGTCAGAATAAAAGAAGGCCAGAATTTAGGCATGGGCAAAAAATTTATTCGAAATCTAAAGAAATGTTAATAGTACTCATTTGCAAGTAGTCATGAGGCTTTAACATTTGAAATTGGAGCTGCAGCATATTATGTAGAGCCACGGAATAACTAATATTTCTTCTTAAAATACTGAAAACTGAGACTGGCAAGCCAAGTTGCTAATTGTTCAAATGATTAAGAAGCTGTTTTAATAGCAGGGTAAACGTTCTAAACAACAGTGAAAGACCCCCATCGAAGCCCCTGCGAGCGCACTCCCTTAAGCACTAAAATGGCCAACAGGCAGAGTGCCACGATTCCTGTTCCTGTATGTGGCTTGGGGGTCGCAGGAAAAGGCAGGAATATTGTAAATTTTGCAAAAATATTAAGAACCATTGAGAAAGCGACCGCTGTCTCATTGATCATTAACACATTCTGATTTCGTTTAAAGAAGGAGATCCACATTTCCCTCTTTCCTGCCTCTCTAGCTGTTCCTCAGGTCTATTATGTTACCGCTCTGATTAAAAAGTCTGCTCTGTAGAATTTTTTGCAATGGGCTGCGCTTACAACTTTGTGTGGGAGTCTGGCAAGTTTAAAAAAAAATTAAAAAAAAATTGAGCAAGGCATTGTAAAAATAGAAACATTAAAGCAATCTGTTATGCTTCTTGTTTACAACTCATCTGACATTAGGCTACCAAGGATTATTACATGTAACAGTTATATTTTGATTAGGATGGAGATATGTACAAAAATACTAAAATATTTCTGTTTCTACATGAAAGGAGGGTACCTTGTGATTTAATTTCCAAAACTTCATGTAAATTTAAATTCTCAGAAAATGTAGAATTTAAATTAATTTCTGTTTGTTTTGCAGTATTAATACTTATTGCAGTTAAGAGCACGTTGCTCTCCCAAACTTCCAACCTTCAGAGAAGAAGGGGAGAGGGAAAACTGTTACTGGCTTTCTGACAATGGCAGGGAGTGTGTTAAACCAGTGTAAAATTCAATTAAACTGTCTAGCCAGGTTTTTGAAGCTGAAATGCAGACCCTTTCAGTTAAGCTTCTTATTTTCCTGTGACCGACACCGGTGGATACTGTGTTATGCCAAAACCAACAGGCTGTAAAGCACCTTGTTTCATGCTCCTAGCTGATCAATATTTTTATTTTCCAGGCTTGCCCAGAAATATGGAGGCAGTATCACCTAACAGTAAGTAGAAACACCTTTTTTGTTTTCTTCTACACCCAACCTATTTACTCTTCTGTGAACTGCTGACCATAAAATATAGACAAGCATCTTCTGCGAGAAGATAATAAACATCTGAAGAGTTTTTGAACTGAAGAATGCGATGAAACACTGTCACTGTTTTTTAAACATCTTTAGAACTTACGATTTCGTTTTAATTCTGTAATCATTGAATGGGTGCCTTGCAGCGCTCCCTCCTCTCAGTGACTACATTTACACACGTAAGGAGGGTTAAATTTTAAGTTGAGATGCATAGCAGAAGCAATAATCCCACCTCAGATATCCCAGATGCTGGCAATTAATCACTGTGTGTGACAAAGCTTTCTTTTCTCAAGGCGTAAAATAAATCTCAGCTAGAGTGCAGATGTTGATCTGAGCAAATGCACTTTATAAACTTCTGCAGATAATTTCTAATTGGTAAGGATGTAGCTATAACTTCTTTGGTCTGCAGCAGTTGATCTTTAATAATTGAAAAAAGAAAATAAAACTTTGTGAACTGAACCAGGGTATTACTTAAGGTTTTTCCTCCTATGTAAAACAGAGATAAAAATAAAACAAAATGCATATAAATTTGGCTAATACTGAAACCTGGAGCAACACTTACCAGGTTAAGACAATATTCAGTGCATTGGTAGCACAAATCTCGAATATCTTAATTTATAAAATTATTACATATAAAAACACCTTGAAAGATTAGGATTTTTGCTGCTTATGTGAATCTTCGCTGTCACTGCTATCCAGCTCAACCCCATACGCATTTCGCTGTTACAGATAATTAATCACTGCTCTCCGTTCAAAACAAAGTAGAAAAGTTTGTCGACGACTTTTGCTCATGGGTCTTTGGTGCGGGCTTTTTCGTTGGAGCAATAAACGGGATGTGCTTTATCATTTGTTGCCTCCACCTCTTTGTGGTAGCAGAATGCTCTTTTTTCTGCATTTGGTTCTAAATTCAATGAATAGGAGAAATCTGTGCTTAGAACCTCTTGCTTGTGTTTTCTGCATAATGATTTTAAAACAAAGATCTGCTTTGGAAATCCTCCACCCTTTTGCAGCATTTACTTCTATTTTAAACAGAATTGGTATAGACTTTAAAAAAACAAAACAGAACAACACATTATGAGCAAAAGGAGCATTCATGAGTATTTTTGTTTGCCTTTTTAAAATTGAGTGAAGGGAAAAGGTAAATGCTGTCTTTCATTATAATCCCCAAGGGTGCTTGTAAAAATTATTTCTGAAATGTTTATGGTATTTGGAATCTAATAATCAGATAGGTGTTTTAGATGCAGTAATGTGTTGGCTGCTGTTTTTTACTGAGGTACAAGATTTAATTGAATTTTAGTCTTGCTTCCTATTGAAAATTCCTCAAGAAGTGAGTTGCAATCAACATTCAGAAAATACTTATTTTCGTAGAAAAGTGGGGGGCGAGCTTAAACCTGACCAGAAATTGAAGTATCTGAGGTAGAAAATTTTATCTGTAAATTTTGTAGAAGGCATTGGGAGTTTACACTTCACTTGGTATAAAGCTACAGCGTTTGTCAAAACAAGCTCCTGATAGAAAATGTAGCAGTTACGAACGCGAGTGTATTATTGAAAGTACTCATTTGGAAATTCCTAGTGCATTTTAGGGACATTTTGAAATGTGGTCAAATATGGGCACACAAAGATAAATTGACATTGAGTCAGAATCTCGCTACTGATAAATAATTTTTTATTTTGCAGTGAACTGCAAATTTTCTGCAAATAATCCACATTTCTGGTACGTGGCAAATGCTTTGCACGTCTCCCTTTTTTGCATGGGGAGACTCACTTTGGCTCAAAATTACGTTAGTAGCCAGATTAAGCCTGGAATTTAAAGATTTGTGTGGTAGAAGATATGCTTGGTGGTGAAGTTACACCTCAAGAAACTGCATTCTCTGCGTTGCTTAAATGCATGAGTCCCAGCTTTTATTATTCCACTTAAAAATTCTCTTTTGCACCCAAAGCAGAGCAAAAGTAAATACTGTTCTCACCAGAACCAGAACTTCTATGTTAGAGCACTGTATATGACGTATATATTTATAGACCTGTAACTGAGAAGTCGAGATCTTTTACTCTCGTGTCAGCACAGCGGAATTTCACTGTAGAAACCAGTTTATAATAAGTGTTTCTGTACAAACAGGGCAACTGTTTAAAGAAAAATAATAGCAGTTTGTAAAAAAAGCAGCGTTGCGCTTCTGCAGAGGCTGCCTGACTGCTCACAGACAAACTAAAGCTTCAGCCGTGGGTACAAGTGCCGGATTTAAATGGATTTTGGTAAATCTATCACAAGCATCGCACATGCAGGTACATGCGAGCGCAAATACGACAGGGCACGCGGGTTTGTAACAGCAGACCGCTTCTAGAGCCTTGCTTACCAACAGACACCGCAAAGTTTGTCTGAACGTTTTGCTTTATATAAAGTATTCCTAGTTAATTGCTGAGCATGCCTGTGAAGAACCACGCAGCCTTCCACCTTTCTCTTTTGTGAAGCTCTTGGTGGTTTTATTCATTATCTGGCCCTTTCCTAAGAGATGGACTGCCATCTATTGACTTCTTGCAGCCCCTGCACAGAGATGCGGATTGACTAGAACAATGACTAAATAATAAATCCATTCTGCTGTTATGGGTGGTGGTGGGTTTTTGTTTACATTAGCTGTGGTGACAAATTTTGGCACGTTACAAATAATTTGTTGTATGGGTAGAAATGTCTTATTCCAACCAGAATAGACTGCCAGCGCAAGAAATCCTACGAGCAGTTGAAATGGCAAAAAGGATTTTAAGCAGAATATTTTAATTTGCCTTTTGATAGGAAAAAAGATTATCATATTGTATTCAATGAAGCTTAAATTTAAAGGCTCTGTGATAATCAAAGCTTTATAACTGGATGAAGTTCGTTTCTTTAAACTTGTTCTTCCAACTCTGTTCACTAAAATTATTCTGTGAAAAAACCAATCAAAGTCAGCAGAACAATCCAATTCCCAGAGTGGTTTAAAATAATATTTAATAACCTCTTTATGATGGTGATTTAAAACTTTTACAAATCATTTTCATTGTGCCTGCTCCCTGTGTATTGCTCCTGTATCAGAAAAGGGAAATGACGTTTGTTGAAACGTATTTTAGGTTTTTCTTTGTGTAGGTATCTATTGGCAATAAATAGGTCAGTTCCGATACCCACCTGCGTTTATCGAAGGTGCGATTATCAATTCAAATAATAACACAAGGACTTTGTTGGCAGATCCAGGACAAACAGTTCTGATCATGGCTTACTGCAGTGTAAATAATAATATGTGTAATTTTTTCACAGACAAGGCACTCGAAGGTCTTGTAAAGCTCTTTATTCTAGATTATTAGGAAGCTTAGCGTACAACTTTGTCTTCCTAAACGCCAGATGCTCCGCAAGCCTGCAGGAACACGGCCTGTGCTCCAAAGGACGTGCCATCACAGCCTCGTTCCCCGCGTCTCGAGGGTGCTGGGGGTGCTCATAGCAGGGTGGGTTTGTCCTCAGAACGCTTGGCTCTTCCTCATTCCCTCTCGCGTGTCGTTTTCGTATTTCAGCTGTAGAGGCAGAGGCATTTATTAAGTGGTTTGTACTCAAATGGAGGCTGGTTTAGAGCCTCCTGTTTACAAAAATGAAGGGTTCAGTGGGAAAACTTGTGAGATCAAGGCACCCTATGAGTTTCATTCATTTGGCTCGGTTTTGCAGTTTATTCTTAAAAAAATTACAGTAGCGTCCCTCTGAGTTTGATCCGCTATCCGATCGCCTAACCGCACGTCCAGCGGCAGGCCCCGGGTTCCGCACGTGCGGACATGGAGGGCCGTAACCGTTCGCAGCTCGGGGCTTCGGGTGGGTGGCCAGATCGGAGCCAGCCTGCCGGGGGACTGCACCATGGACGGAAGCTGTTGGCGCTCCGTACCCGCGCCAGCGGATGGGGCCTTGGGTCCAGCCCCGCTCCCGTCCCGCAGGTCGTGCTCTGGCGTTGCTGCTGCAGGGAGCTGACCAAACGGAGGGTCGGTGCTGCGCTGCTGGGAGCAGTCGCGTTTCCACCCAACAGATGACATCACTGGAGAATAAGGGGGAAATTATTTTCAGCGCACGCTGACCCAAGTTTTGCTTCAGGCGTGAAGCTGCACCTCTTCTGTGTGGGTCCCCCCGAAGCATGGCTCAGCCCCCCTCTGCAGGGTGCTGCGAGTGGGGTACCCGAGGGCGAGCAGACAGCCACCTCCGTGCTCCCGTGTCAGTCGGGATACCTGCGGCCGCGTCGGCTCCCGGCGTGCGTGGCACGGCGCTGTGGTTCAGAGGGCCCCCTGGTACACGGAACCAAACCTAGCCAGTCCCGCTCAGGAACACGACGTGGGTACAATAATCACACGGGAATTAGCGCTGCAAGCGTTAGTGTCTTCTTCAGTAAACGCCTACAGAGCCATGAAATTCTGTGCCTGAAATGGGCAGAGCGCAATTTTTATTTTTCTAATGTGTTTCTGGGTATAGATGCACATGTTAAAAAACAAACCCTGCTCGGATTAGGTGTCTCCTTTCTGTAGGGATTGCTCATTTTTAATAACCTCTTCCTCCCCCTGTACTGCTCTGGCCGCAAGGACTCCTTCCCTCATCCCCTGCCTTCCCCAGCCTCATTTATATTAAAGCTCCCAGGCCAAGATGGCCACCAACAGAGTTTTAGAACCATCAGAATTTTTAACTAGCAGAAGCTATCATTTAACACGTTTTTTGACAGTTTGTTAATCTTACTTTTAATCCACTTACATAAAAGAAGGTGAACCAGGAACCGGCTGTTTTGGCCTCTGTGCGTAAAAGACATGAAGGGACAATGCATCTTTTGTGTTTAAATTTTGCGCTCGGATTTCTTTGTGTGCATTATTAAAATTCCTCGTGGCCTGCCACATTTTTTCTGAAATGAAAACTTAAGCAGTGTTGCTTAAAGTCCGTT